TTTTCATTTATCATTCTCTCTTAAGCTAGGAACATTGAGAATCAAGTATACCTAAAGTTCTGTTTTCCCATGACATACAAAAAATGAATAGATAACATACATTTTATCAAGAGGATCCCCTTTATTATAAACACAACTTCAAATAAGAGGAACAACAAAATGGTGTTCTCCCTTTGGAGCACACCATGCCAATACAAAAATGGTATTCTTGATCAAAATCTAAATAACAAACACCTCCAAATGTCTACCTCTAAATAACCAAACCAACTCTATATAAGTTTACACAGCATCAACCTGTAAATAATCTTTAACTTTATACAACGTCAATCATTTTCAAAGTTTGTTAACGATGAAACCAAAAATAGTGTAAATTCTGCTCTCGAGATTGCCACTCTTCCAACACTCATCAATCAAAGAAGTGCACGTTTAGTTTACACAACAATAAATACAAAATCATTAAAGAGATAAGAAAAAATTAAGCTTAAAAAAATGTAGGCCTGTAAAAAGGGAGTCAATATTGTCATTTGCTTCTAGTCTTCATCCACCTGTAAAATACTGAAAAAAAAAAGCCAATATAATAATTAAAAGAGACTACCCAATTCAAAACAAACACATGTATTGTCACACTAATGAAAGGTTTTTTTTATAGACCACCCAATTCAAACTAAACACAAACATTGTTGCAAAATAATAATTGGTTACCCAATACAAACACTATGAACAAACACAACACATTGTCAACACATATAAAAATTAATGACTGATAAAAACATTAATTTACACAAATCAATCAATATTTTCTTTGGGTTTTATTTTTTTTCAATTTTTTCTTTTTGGAATTTCCTTTAATTGATCACATAAGGTTAGAGGGAAAATTTAAAAAAGAATTTAATTAAATAAAATTCAAAAAGCAAACTCTTCGCTTGGTAATTTAACAACAAACTCTAACTAACTTAATTCCCCCATCATTTACAAATCAACACAGCCTAAAAAACCCCATTTATTTTGTCCAAAAGCCCAAAGCCATTTATTATATCAGTTTAGTCCCATCAGTTTTGTGTACGTAACCACCCTACAGCACCTTCTTCAATCTTCACCTACACCCATTCAGATTCATTTTGCTTCCAACCTTAAATACATTTTGAATATTTGTTAAGCAATACATGACCATAAGTAAAACTCAAAACTCAAATAAAATAACAACTCCTTCCAGCCTTGATGCAAATTAAGAAACAAACATATAAGATTTATAATGTTCACTAAAATGATCATTCTGTTTAATCAAAAACAGAAACAGCCAAGTGATATTAGATTTTGGTAACCACCATTAAGAAATCATTATACTACTTACCCCAATCTATCAAGCATCTAGATTATCATAACAGAAAATGGAATAAACAAACAACCATTGTCTATTTAATAAAAAACAGAACCAGTCAAGTGATATTATAGTTTGGTAACCACCATTAAGAAATCATTATATGCCTTTAATCGAAAAAAAAAACATCTAGATTATCATAACAGAAAATGGAATAAACAAACAAACAACCATTATCTATTTAATAAAAAACAGAACCAATCAAGTGATATTATACTTTGGTAACCACCATTAAGAAATCATTATATGCCTTACCCCAATCTATCAAACATCTAGATTATCATAACAGAAAATGGAATAAACAAACAACCATTATCTATTTAATAAAAAACAGAACCAGTCAAGTGATATTATACTTTGGTAACCACCA